GAGAGAGAGAGAGAGAGAGAGAGAAAGAGAGTCCAGAGAGAATAGAGAGAGAGAGAGAGAGATGATAAGAGGAAAAGGGAGAATAAGAAGGAACAAGAGAAAGTAAAGAAGAGAAGAACGAAACAACAGAGAGAAACACGAGAAATTATAGATGCCTAAATCACAGCGGCGGGAAAAGGCGTTTCAACGGTTTAATAACTTTTCAATTTGAGTGCGATGGACGTGCACGGGGGCGTCACGCATGGATGAAAAACGCGCCATTTTTTAGCTCCTCACTAGTTATCATTTTTTTTTTTCCATATCTCTTGTAGTATCTTTCAGTTACACACAAACATTTTTTTTTTATTTCTGAAATCGCTCATGTAAGCGTGGGTTGAGAGGAGAGGGTGACGGCTGAGACATAACGAGGAAATTTGAGATAAAGAAGATAAATTAGATAGATATATTAGAACAGAAATAGAGATAGTAGATAGAATAGATAGACAGATAGGAGAGAAGAGAGGAGAGAGAGAGAGAGAGAGAGGAGAGAGGAATAGAGAGAGGAGAGAGAAGAGAGAGNACGCCCTTCCTGAGACTTAGTCAAAAAATAAAATTGTTTATCTGCAGGAAATTCAATGATTTCATAGATTCTTGACATTGTTTCTTCTGTGAATGAATCATTGAGGAGATCAAGTACCATATCTCCACTGGCCATCTTGATTTGATAGTCCTGTTAGTAGGGGAGGGCATGAAGTATATCAGGGAAATTATGGGGTAAAACAGGCTTAAATAAGAAGAATAACGACCAAAAATGCATAAGCGCAGAAAATGCTTAAAATCAGCCAAAGAAATGGTAGAGATAAATCTTAAAATGCGGAAATGAGGTATAATAACATTACAAGACTTTAAAAGCTCAAATGTGTAGCAGCAGACACTGATAACTAGCCAGATATTGTTTTGACAAGCGCATTTAATACATGAACTAGCTCAGACATTATAGTTATGAATTATGCGGTCTGTGTTGTTTTTCTTGGCAAAGTAAACCAGTGGCAGGAATTTGAATCTGCAGCTTTTTATGTTGTATCCTACTCTGTTTCTTCTGTTCTCTAAGATCCCTGTATCAATGCGTGTCGCTCTTAAACTTTTACCCATTTCTGCAATTTTCAATAGTAGTTCATGCGCTACTAGGCGCTTTCAAAATGGTGTTTCGTTAATTATCAGTGTCTGCTGTTAAACATTTATGCTTTTAAGTATTGCTATAGAGTACTTTTTTTTTTTTTTTTTTAGTCCAGTCAATGGGTAAGCAAGATTTATATTTTTAATTATTATTATTATTTTTAAATTTTTTACAATTTTTAATAACTTCTTTGTTTATTGTCCAAATGATATAAACAGTTGTTTAAATTGTAGTATATGTAAATATAACATCTTATAAAATAAAAAAATCTGATCATAATTAACAAATTTCGTTCTGGAGTGTGACGGCCCCCCATTGATTCTATTGGAACCATTTCAGTCTTCCTGACTGATTTTTTTGTCTGTGACAAGAACTGGTCTGACTGAAAATGCCCTTTTCACTGGCCTTGTCAACTGTAATGCATTGGCAGTATAATACTACACTATATCTACCAGAAGCTAGTGTAAATCCTACACCAATATGGATAAGATTATATCACGTAGACATGATCTCCCCTGTGAAGTTTATATTGGTGAAATGCCCTGCCATATCAAACCCCAGCAACCCCTTCCTCATCAGTGTCAAAAAGGCATTTTGGCTACCCAGCCAAACACTGTTGCTCCAAAGATCACTGCCCTCTTTATTCCCAACCTGGTCATGGCCATTGAGATTGCTTTGCAGTGTCATGTATGCGTGCCAATTGTGGTGGTCTTCTATAATATTTTATAGGAGTTGCCTTGCCTATAAGCTTGAATATGAGGTAGCAGTTCTCAGATTCATAGTCCTTCATTCTGCCCCCTTCCCATCTTCTCAAGATATCTCAACATCTCCCCCAGTAACTGCTCATATGCCAAAATATCATACTTCTATTCCCACACCCTCCTTCAAATTCCTTTTCCAGTTGAAGTCCAGATACTCCAATCTCTTCCTCACTTCCCTGATACCTAATCATCTTGTCGCACCAGGCAATTTAAATGTTCACTCCTACCATATCCTCTCCTACAGCCTCCTCTTCATCTACTTCTCAGACATCTATCCCCTCTTCTGACAGAACATTCAAATCTTTCCAAACATAATCCAAGATGATGTGCCTTTTCTTCATCCCCCCTCCAATCCCTCTCTATATAAAATATTCCTGATTTCCATCCTCCCAAGTTCCCCCTAACCCTCTTTCCCCCAATCGCTTCCAGTACACCCCACCTTCTCCATGTGCACCATTGCCTCTTTGTTCCCCATTGTCCTTACCACTCACTTTGGATGCTCACATGAATCCATCCTGTTGCAACAGTGTCCTTTTGATCTCTCCCCTCCTTGACATTCATTCTGATCACCACCATCCCCAGTCCCCATTCTCATTCCCCGGATTATTCTCCTCCTCCTTATATATCCAGCTCTACCCATATTTCCTGATGATTGTTTCATAATCGCTCTTTTGCCAGTTTTCTTTAAACAATGATCCTCTTCCTTCAGCCACAGATACTTTCCATTTCATCCAATCGCCCTATGCCCTTGACCCTTCACTATTTTGCTAATCTTTGCTTTACTTCATTTGCTCCCCCTCTTTACCCATTTCATTACCATATATACCATCATAATAAGGCTCTATAATCTTTGACTTCTAACACATTTTATCCTTATTGTGAACTTATTTTTTTACTCGTTTTGCCACAAAACTTTATTAGTAGTTTACTATATGACTCTGATGATGTATTACATTTGTTTTTAACCATTAACCATTACTGATACGGCAGAGTTTTCATTAACAGTTTCATTATTGTTGTCGGTGTTTCATATGGATAGTCCTTACATGTGTGGGATACCTATAGCTATGTCAGAGAAAATCTCAGTAACAAAGATTTTTTTTTGTCAAAGACAAGATTGGAGTCTGTAACCTTTCATGAATGCTGCCCCTGTCTTCTATGACTTTGGCTCAATTTTTACTGAAAAATCACAAATTTAAGCCATAGGAGTTAAAACAGTCCACAGTACATTGGTTGTCAGTTTAGCCGTAGATGAACTTGTTTTAGGAAAAATGTGATACATGGAAAACCATTTTTAACCGTCTTGATTTTCCCATATTAAGTTATGGAATTTGAGATAAAGTATCATACAGATTTCTTAAAACTTCACATTACACCACCAGGTTTCATTCTATCTACTTACTTTTTAAACACATTAGCCATCTTAACCTACTGCCACTGGAGATGGCATTTATGCACATCCTTTTGATGTTAATTCATTAACCAAATGATGTTAATTTATTGTATTTACACATAGATGGCCCTACATGAGAAGTCATCAATGAGTCAATCACTAGTTCAACCTTGCTCAATTGTTTACCTTTTTCAAAAAAAAATATTTTTTTTATTGCTAATATTGTCAACCCATTGGATCCAGTTGCATCACAGAAATCACAATGCCGAAAATACTGGCTTTGGGTTAAGTAGGTAGCCGACATCCCAGGTTTCTGGTGCTTAGGCTGGGCACACGAACACTCAGGAGTGGTGACAAGACTGTGCCTCTCCTTTGCAAAGTTATTTTGTTTACTGTTTTAGTTTCTTTGCTATATTCCCATGTGCATATTTGACTTTTGATTTGCTTTATCCACCTGTAATGGCTTATTTTCCCTGCACAGACTCCATATCATATATCTATGTAGTATATAACTCAGTGAAAAGAAAAGTGAAAAAAAAGGAACTTTTTCTTGTCATATTTTTTCATAATTTAAAATTATCCATAATACAACCTGCATTGCCAATCAAATCAGCCAGAAATGTGGTGGGAAGCATGGAAATGGCGTCCTCCCTAAGGCTGGCGCTCTTCCAATCATGGCTTATGCACATTACATTCCATATTCGTTTATTGGTGGGAATAATGCTTGAAACCCTCTTCTAAGCAGCAAATGAGTCAAATCCCACTCAAAAAAGTTTTTGCATTCTCGGCGAGTCTTTTGCATCACCCTGGTCTTTGCTCCTGATGGCAAGTTTGTGTCACCCAGCCCTGTGCCATTTTACCTAATGACATCATGTTCACATCACCCAGTCCTTAACCCAAATTTTTCTATGACGGGACCGTAATGTCATCCATATCATAGATGTTAACCCATTGGCGCCGAGTGTCACGTACGTGCATGCCGTGGCTGTTGTGGACCAAACGCCGGGGGCATCATGTCATGCCCATTCCCGCGCTACTGGCACGCCGGATGGAGGTTGTTTTTCTCCAGTAATAGCGGCTTCATTTATATGGTAAAGATTGTAGGCAATGGCACCTAAAGTGAAGGTAAACCTTCAAAATATTAATATTTTTATAAATTTTAGCAAAATAAAAGCTTTTAGGTGCTATATGTCGCTCGCAAACTACCGATCGAGCCAGGCACAAACAGGGGAAACTGCCAACAAGCCCGTGCATATGTAAACTTGCCAAAATTTTTATCTGTCGCTAATGGGTTAATAACACTATGGTAATTTTGAGTAATAAGAATAACAGCATTAAGGGGAGGATCCCAAAAATTCAGGAAGGGGAAAAGCAGACAAGGGCACATTGACTAGAAATTGACTCCTTATAGACAAAGCAGTTTTGGAACCCTGTGTGTTTAGATATATTTCACAATATTACAGTGAACATCACATTTTCTGAGCAGCATTTGGTTAAGGTGTCATTTTCTTTTTTAACCCAGTACAGATGGTACGAGAATTTTCTGTGTGGCACCTTCTGGTGACTACTAGCAATTGTCTAGCCGTATCGGCAGGGCATTTGTTGTGTACAACTGACCCTACTCGCTCGCTTGCTAGAGCGAGTTGTGATTGGTATACACGTTCCTGTCATGAAGGGTGTGCGTTCCATGATGGCCATAGCCAAGAAAGTGTTAAATGATTGCAGAACTCTAAAGGGAGCCGCTTTTCCCCAATATTTAGCCGTGGTGTTAGCCCACATCAAATACAAATATTTTATTGAGTTATGCCACTTACACCTAAGGAAGCAAACGTATATGAATTCTTAAGAAACAGCTGATGGCATCACCTGAAGTAAGATGGGGCAGCTTAAATTAATTTTAAATAAATCCTAATAGTAAAATACCTTTTTTTATGCAAATGACAACTTTCACAAATTTTCCAAGCTCTGAAGTAATTTGACTTTTAGATATTTGAATACTGAGATTACTGGTAAGCAATAATGAAAAGGTGTAATACCAAAATCATTATTAGAGTGACCAAACATTACTAATTTATTTCTACATTTTCTCTCATTTTTGTACTTCTCAATACAAAACTATGACAAAGATGAGATAAGAACTTTTAGCAGTTTTTCCATGCTATGTACAATATCATATCCCTAGAAGGGGCATACTAAAGAAGAAAAGAAAGTATTACGTATATCTGCATTTTATGGGTACATGAATTACTCAATATTTCCTATGATGTTCTTCCTCCCATAATATGAAGTCATTATTATTATCTATTATCTAATTTTTTCCAGACTTTTAAAACATCTCTAATGATATTTAAGGACTTTGTTCCTAATTTTTAACCAAAATTAATTTTCAGAAATAGATGATTTTTATAACTTAAGTGCCCCAAAAACAAAGTATTAATTATTTTTTTCTCTTTCCAGGATAGGGTATTGGAACGCCTGAAGGCCCTGTCAGGACCAATGATTGACTTGGTGCCGCGCGAAGAAAATGTGAGGAAGTTCTCAAATCATTGCAGACTTTGGGTTGGAAATCTTCCTCTTGACATCAAGGAAGATGATGTTAAGGAATTGTTCAAGCCATTTGGAGAGTTTGATGAAGTGTACTTTGACAAGAATAAAGGCTTTGCATTTGTGCGAATGGTAAGTTTTTGGGTTGTTGAAATGTGTTGGAAATGAGATGACCTAGGAAAGGTTAACTTGAAAGAAAGGGCAAAGCAATTTTATACAAATCAATGTTTTTTAATGATCATATACTGAATTAATGTCCAGTGAGATGACCTAAGTGGTTTTGTTTCGCACAAAGTTTCTAAAATATTAGAAACATAATTAACCATTTCTTTTAATAGGACTACAAGAGCAATGCAGAGAAGGCAAGGCAGGAGTTACACCTGAAGGACTACAAGGGTCGGCAGCTGAAGATTAGGTTTTCTTCACCAGGCACAGCCTTGAAAGTCCGGAATCTGTCCACTTGGGTGACAAATGAATTGCTAGAGAAGGCATTTAGTGTAAGTTTATAGCATCTGAAACAATGTCAGAGATAATGTTGTGGGAGGTGTAAATATTGCTTTTGTGATTATTTTAAAATTTGTAATTTATTGCTTTGCATTAGGTGTTTTAAAATTTGTAATTTATTGGTTTGCATTAGGTGTTTGGAGAACTAGAGAAAGCAGTTGTGATCACAGATGAACGTGGTCGTGCTACAGGTGAAGGTGTTGTGGAATTCTGTAAGAAGCCAGCTGCTAATTTGGCTCTCAAAAAATGTCAGGACGGTTGCTTCTTTATGGTCGCGTAAGTGTACCTGATTTTCTTACCTTCAGTGATATTGGTGTATATTTGAATATAGTACAGTTATTGATTATCTTTTCATTTAAATATTGTCCTTTACAGGTCACCACGTCCAGTTATTGTAGAACCAATGGCTGTAGTGGATGACAATGAAGGCATGAGTGAGATCAATGTTAACAAGCGTAACCCAGAGTACATCAAGGAAAGGCAACAAGGCCCTCGCTTTGCTCAGCCGGGCTCCTTTGAATATGAGTGAGTAGAGGTGCATTATTTCCTTAGAAAAAATCAGTAATAAAGAATGATCTTGTTGGATGCTATATATTTTTTATTTAATTTATTTGAACCAAAGAATTGGGCATTTTACCCTTTTATTCTTGTTCAGAAACCTTACAACCCAGTTTTCATATCAGGTAATCAAATGAAACTTTTAAAAAGTATGGGAAATAGCACTTTAGGACTAGTTTATACAATAAATTTTTTGATTACACTTTACACGCGGACTCAGAAATAAACACAAATGCCAGGACTAATGTGGACAGGGTGCGGATGGCATAATATAATGGGGCTTGTTTCTCTCTGATAGTAGCGGCATCTTAAAATCTTCATCCTTTTTTATTTTTTAAATTAATGGTGCAGATGGAAACTGTCAGTGTGGCCACTAGTTAAATATTTAATGCAGGGTTAATGGGTTATGATTAATTGAAAAAAATATACTTATATGTTTGTTAACCCTTTCACTGAAGGTGTCACTATGTCTGTATTAAAGATTTCTACACAGCATATACTGCAGAACACATACGGGTTGCAACATATTTTTCATATTTTTCTAATATATTTGCTGTATTCAGATATACGTGAGTATATCATTTGCTTCAGAATCCAACTTTTATATATTGTTTCTATTAGTATAATCCCTATATTTGATTTTAATACATACCATTGTAAACAATCTGATGGCTTATTTAGCCTGATATCAAGCACGCGTAAATACCTGACGTGTTAGCCTAAAGCAGCTCCTGATATTAATACAGCAGACTGGGTCTTTCCAAAAAAATGTATACATTTAAAAAATATAAACCAGTAAAAAAAATGTACTAACAAAGTGAACATACTATCATGTTAAGAAGTGAAAGATTACAAAATATTTTGTATAAACTTTAAGCTTATGGGTGTGTGGTGTATCAAGACTTCTTACCCTCCTTTTACAATATTGTTATATCTTTGTGCCTAAGCAATTTCTGCTTTTTTGCCTTTTTCCAATATATATTTGTCATTGGTTGTGCTGTATCCCAATTGTAATACATTGTTCTCCTTGCACAGACTCCATATCATCTCTACAGGTATTCCATAACTTGGTGCAAGAATTACAGTTATAATTAACATTTTGTCATGTTTAAATATTTCAAAATATTCCATTTCCTGTAATACAACCTGCGCCACTGGTCATAGCTAAAAGTTTAGCAATGATTGGAGTTGGTAATTAATGAGTATGTGTATATCATTATGTAAGAATTTACACAAAATTAAAAAAAAAACAGATTTGCTAAACTCGACTTAACAGCAAGCACTGTAATTGATTGAAGTTTAGGCTCTGTCATTGACTGCATGACTTGTGGTGATGTTTGTAACTTTGGCATGAATAGTACGAGTTAAATATCCTTGACACTTGTTTTTATTTCATTTGTTTTCGCAGGTATGGCTTAAAATGGAAGCAGTTGTATGAGCTTTTTGACAAAAAGAAAGATTCTTTGGAAAGGGAGTTAAATGATGAGAAGCGGAAACTTGAAGAGCAGATTGAATATGCAAAATATGAGCATGACACAGAAATGCTAAGAGAACGTAAGTTAATAGCTCTATAGATATATAGATATAGAAATGTAAATAGATAGATAGATATATATATAGATATATATGGATATATAGATATATATGGA